CTCCTCTTTCTCCTATTCCTCCTTTACCTTTTTCTTCATCTGACTATATTCTGGTCTTTCCTTATTCTTCCAATACGATCACGACAATTTACCTGTTGCATTGTTTGCGACTATATTTTGGTTATCGGCTATGTGTAAGACGATTAGTACTCCAATATACATGAATATATTCCCTGCCTCAGATATAACCTGTAGTTTGTTCTCTATCATCTTACTGTCTCTAGCATTTATTGGGTTAACAAAAAGTTGTACACTTGCATCTATATAACTATGACCTGTACTTGGCTTTAATACTGTCTTATTCTGATTTTTTATTCTGAAAACTATCAATAAAAATGAATTTGAAAAAAAAAATGTAACTGGAGGCATAAAAGGCTGTGGATATCCCACTGTGGATGCTTGATATTTCCATCCGATGTAAGATGAGCTTTTTCATGGCCAGGGCAGCTTCACCCAGCTGAGGGACTCATTGTGAAATTTTGTGACATTTGCTGCTTCTGACTTTTCCACTTTCTGCAATAAATGTTTGTGAGTATATCTTTTATATATTTTTATTAATAAATTTAACATCGATATCGTAGGGGTATAATAGGGGTATTTGCACCACTGTTTTGTCTCATTAGATTTTTCCTGAAGCCCTCCCCTGTTAGATCATAATTAGCTATACTTTATTTCACGTCCCGGACCATCTCCACCAGTTATTATTATTTTATTACTGTTATTATTGTATGTGAGCATAATTTATTATCTGGGCTAGTGTTTTATATACAGCATGTATTAGCATAAATTTACAACTGACTTTCTCCTTTATCTCGCCCCTTGCATGAGCGTCAATGTTTTTTTTTTTGCTTTTTACTTAATTAAAAATACTACTTGACTGGCTGTCTCTGGCTTCACTACGTTTCAAACCACTGCCACAGAATAAACAATCACAAGAAAGTCAGATTAAAAATGAGAGATTGTTAGGTTTCAGGACTGAGACTCGTACATGTATTGAGCGAATTATAAAGGCTGCGATAGATGATGTCCTTCTGAAAATGCTAGTTCCCTGGCTCTCTCTGGCTTTAGCCTTTTCTAAATTACTGATGCAGAGCAAACATATAGTCAGAGTGAAGTCAGAACTTCTGATCTCGGTGCATGTCCAATTTCAGTAAGTCACAAAGTATCAAAGCTATTGGATCAGTATTACAGTCAGTCAAATAGCATTTGCATAATGAGGGGTTTGAAATGACAGTCTTCATATTATCTCACTGCAGGTAGATATACCTGATCTATAGAGAATTATACAATTCAGAGATTGGGGCAATCAAGTTTCTTAAACTGTGATTCTCTACAGACAGGGCAAGTCAGCCAGCGTGCATTTAGAAAAATAAAAGCGTAATTGTACACATTTTGATCATCAACTTGAAGAAGAAAGGAGGCATATTTCTGTTACATAACATCAGTTACTACAATAAACTAAAAAGTTCTGAATTGTTTTCATCAAAGTAAACCTACAGCACGAGTGCACTTTAACCCCCCATTCTTAACCCAAATGATCCCGCTCTCCCCCTCTGTAGATTTGTACTTATCAAGCAAGATCAGACAGGCATGGTTTGACTATTGTTTACATCCAGTGACGCAATACTCCCTTTGCTATCTGTATCTGCACATCACAACCCTGCAGATTTCTATGGTGCCTTCTCTCATTCGGGAGAAGAAGGTGGCCAGGAGAGGGAGACTTTAAAGTGGTGGATGTCAACAAACAGTGGAGCAGCAGCCTCGGATCTTGGTAAGCATAGATCTGTGGAGGATGAGGGTGAGATCATTTAGGTCAGGGTAGGGGGCAAAAAAAGAATAAGTGCACTTTGTCTAGAAGTGTCTAAAATTCTTTAAACACAAAATATATTTTCATGAATGCTTTATTATTTACTACATAACGGAATCCCAAAACTAAACATAGTTTGTAAACTCTTTCTCATGTTAGTGTTTCTAAAAGTGTAGATTAATGGATTTAACATGGGGATAATGAAAGAATACAATACAGAGAGGCACTTGTTAAAATCAAAGGAGTCAATAGCCTGGGGTCGTGCATACATAAATATAGTTGTTCCAAAAAATAAAACAACTACTGTCAAGTGAGATGCACAAGTGGAGAAGGCCTTTTTCCATCTTCGATCAGAAGGTATTTTCTTCAATGCAAATATGATGCAGATATAAGATATTGTTATGAGTACTAGAGAAGTAATCAATACAAACAAAGCAGATATAAAGTTTACAAGTTCCACTGTAGAGATATCATTACAGGAAAGGTGAATGACTGGTGAAATATCGCATAAGTAGTGGTTGATAGTCCTGGAACCACAAAAGTCCAGCTGAGCTATTAAACCTATGGAGAATGAGCAAGCAAGGAAGCCTAAAAACGTGCTACCTCCTGTCAGGATCCAGCACACTGTAGAGGTCATTATACTATGATAGTGTAGTGGATTACAGATGGCAAGATATCGATCATAAGCCATTACTGCCAACAAAAAGCACTCGATACATCCTATGGACAGAAACAAGTAGAGCTGTAACAGGCAGCCCCACACAGATATCACATTGGTTTCTGTTGTAAGATCACTCAACATTTTTGGAACAGTAACAGAGACATACAGGGTTTCCAAGTATGATAGCTTGCTAAGGAAGAAGTACATGGGTGTGTGAAGTTTGGGATCCCACCACACAATGGCAATAATGGTTACATTTTCCAGTAATGTGAATATATAAGCAATAGAAAAGACTGCTGTAAGAACAGTCTTAATGAATGGAGAGGTCGGGAAGCCAAGCAAGACAAAATGTGTTTGGTCTGTAACATGGCTGCTTTCATTAGTGGCCATGGTTCACTTGGTACAACAGATAACAAAAAAGGCATTTCAGATTGAATCAATTATGTTAAACAGTATGATTGCCAGATATAAATACATATTACAGTAAATAAGGGAAAACAAAGAACTGTGAAATAGCTATACATCACCATTATTTACGAGAATATGAATTGAACCTAAACTGATTAAGCCAAATGAAAAATGGCTGGATGTTTCAAGTGAACATAGGATCACTTAAGCTCATTGGATGCAACCTCACTCTCTCTACAAACATATACGAGTAACTTAAAAAAGTCAAATTAGGACTTAATATAATGATATGGAACAGAAGTGTAAACAAAAGAAAAGATATTTTAAATATATTTGAAAATATTTGAAGTATATTCAGAATCAAAAGATAGAAGATGGATCTGTTTATTAAATCCACAAGACATAACCGCAAGTCACAAAGATAACATTATTTTAAGTAAACATAGAAACATAATAAACATTTGTCAGCTACTCATACATTTTACTTACTCTAATATATGCATTTTGCTAATCTTTAGTATCTCTGATTAATTATTCTTCCTTTTTCAATAATTATGTTGTTTGCTTAATATTACAACTTAGCTGCCTACAGCTTTTGTTTATTTGTAACCAATAACACAATCATGTACAGTGTATACTGCGTACTGGCAGTTGTATTGGTCTTGAGGCATTAAACAGTACTGATAAAACTGAAAACTGGTGAAGAGTTTTTATAGCTTTGTACCAATACTCACATTTGCATTTATGGAATTTTCTCCTGAGACTCTATACCCATATTGCTTTGAAATAATTATTTTGGAGCATACACTTTTTTTAATTATTTTGTTAACATTTTCAAAGCTAACCCCTAATGTCACCTGTGGACCCCAAAAGAAGCTTATGAAGCAGAGATCTGCTCCATCTGCTTCTTCTCTCTGGCTATGACTGACAGATGAATGCGAACGATCGGCGGGCTATGGAGCCGCCGATCGTCTATATGTGAAACACCCGATAACGGGTGTTTGCATTGGTCGGGTCTTTTCTGCCCGTGTGTGCCTGCTAGGGGGCGCGCGCAAGCAGAAAAAAAATGCCGTCAAACCCGCCAATGCAGCAGTGCCATCCGTCCGTTTTTTTACAACGGGCGGACGGCAAGAGGTTAATGTAGGAAAACATGTTAAGAATAATCCACTTTATAGTTCAACAGTAGAAAGGCATCATGGCACACTCACAAACCAGCATGTAAAACAACTTGTCTCACCACTAAGGATAATAACAGAGGTTTTTGCTTGACCACTTTATAGTTCGACATTTCTTTCTCTCTTTCTTCAAATTTCACATACCTGTTGAGTTGTATGACCTCATCATAAATAACAATGGTAATACAATAAAAACTGCTTTGTATCATAATATATATTTTATTTTTAGGTTTCTGTGCTTAAGTCCCCAAATTTGCACACTTGGTAATGGAGAAAGTTGGGTTGGTGCTTGCTGGAAATGTTCCTCAATGTGTCATAACCTTTTGGAGTCTGAGCAAAAATCATAAGCCAAGGATAGGAGTAGAGGTAAAGTTCTGGTTCACTGCTACCATGGGCTTATGGTTTGGCAAACTGCAAATTTTTGGCAGAAAACTTTGCAGGTTTGCCACCAGAAATAATGCAATGCATAGTGAAAATTCAATAATGTGAAGAAATGTATAACCCAACCCCCTTTCTATAAAAGGGTGAACTCACAGCAGCCATATTGCCAATGTGTGTTGGATCTGTTAGGGAGAGCTGACAATTCTATGTCAGTAGAGATACTGTAGTTTTTTTATTTATTTTGTAAATTTTGGCATTGGTATATATCTCCGATGGCAGTACCTGGCTTTTCATGCCCTTCATTTGACAATAGCCTGCTTATTAGCTCTACAAATAGGCTTTAAATGGCTTTTCTGCAAAGTTTGTAAATTTCAAGCAAGAATCACAAAACTGAACCACACCCAAGCAGATTTACTTGGACATGAGACACACACAGTTAGGGATCCCTTACTTGCAAGGCCACAGTGCTACTCACTTAACCATTATGAGATGAAGTACGACATGGCACTGCCAGTCTGTATGGTCTGTACGACAGAGATGGTCCACATTCAGCAGTCATGAGGTCTGGGAGAGGTGAACCACAAGGAGGAAGTGGATACGTATGTCTGTTTATAACTGAGCTCACTTTGAGCAATTAAGGATGGGTTACAAGATCTAAGGACTTCCTTCTTAATGTATTCTGGATAGTGCTTAATAATTTGCCGCGGGGGCGTGACATGACCTGGACATGGCGCCGTGAGGACGTTCCTTAGGGGAGCTCTGCAGTAACCGAGCCGGACCGACGCTTTAGTGGACTATACCTGTTGCTTTCCTCCATGCCCAAGGAGCAGAAAGCCCACGGCAGCTACGGTGACACCCGCCTCGCCCCCTCCCTCTACGATTTCTTCACCCGGCGATCCCCGCCTCCGGTTCCCCTGTCTCCCTCAAAGATGGTGCTCACCCGCTCCTCCGCAGCCGGTCTCCTAGCTGGTAAGAAGTCAGGTCGAGGCACAATCTCTCCTGCCAATGACATAGAGGACTCCACTGACTCTGATTGCCCGGAGCTTTCAGGCCGGACGCCGATCCGCCTGCGGTTGGACCCCGGCCCCTCATTGACTCCACACGTGCTGGGCCAGGATGCTCAAGATAACAGAGGCCTGCAAGGCCTGCTGCCGCATCTCCCAACAAAGCAGGACCTGGATAATATGGCATCATCCATTGTGGCGGCCCTGAAAAAGGAACTGCACGACCTTACCCACCGCATCACGGAGGTGGATGACCGGGTCACTTCGGTACAAACTGTCACCACTTCGCTATCAGCCAGAATGGAGGCTCTGGAGGTGGACGCACGGTTAACGAATTCCCGCCTGCTGTCTATGCACCTCCGACAGGATGACTCGGAAAACCGGAACCGCCGAAAATAACATACGACTGCGAGGCATACCAGAGGCCACGACCGGCATTCACCTCCGAGACACTGTGGCTGCCATCCTCAACACTCTCCTGGGTAAGCCTCATGACGCAGCCTTGGAGCTTGACCGGGTCCACAGAGTTAACAGTGCTCGACCCCCCACGCCATCGGCACCCAGAGATGTCCTATGCAGGGTGCACTTTTTTGCGGTGAAAGAGGAAATCATCAGGCAGGCATGGAGGCATGGCCCCTCTGACTTTGATGGTGCTACCATCCGCATCATGCCGGACCTCTCCCGTCATACTCTCCGCATGCGACGCCTAGTCCGCCCCGTGCTGGACTTGATCCGCTCTGCCTCTGCCACTTATCGTTGGGGACACCCTTTCCATGTGATCGTCCGGCGAGACGACGCTACTTTCAAACTGCACTCACCTGACCAGCTCCCAGCCATGTTTTTGCTTCCTGGATGTGGATCCGGTGGATGTCCCCAACTGGCTGGAGTTCCCTGATGAGCCCTTGGGGCCAGCTCTTCCTCCCCCGCGTACACCCCGCCGGGCCAGAAGCCAGCACCGAACGACTTGGAGGGACCCTCCTGTACAGTCCCCGGCGGGCCAGGAACCATGAACTCCCCGCGGTATCCTTCAATACTCATGAGAACTGGCCCCGCACCACCCCTATATTCCCCCACTGATGGGCTCCTGCCATCACACTACTGCTTTATGTGTCTAACCTCCTCTATTTTTACAGGTCGCAGTATTCGGCACATGTGCATGGGGGGAGGGGAGATGGTGGGGGGTAGCACCCCCGGTTCCCTACCTGCTCTTTGTTTATGTAGTCATATGTCATCGGGGGAGGGGTTTCTGTTTATGTTTATGTTTATTCTTATCTCAGTTTCATGGTTATGCCGTATAGAACTTATACCCTCACCGCTGTGATTGCCCTGCCTTTCCCCTCCACTTCACACCCCCCGAAAGTGCCTCGATCCTCATTTCCTATGGGGGGCCCGGGGCTGCGGGGCCGTGGGGTACGATGACACTCCAGGTGCAGGGGGATCCCTCCCCGTGTATGTGGCTGCTCCTTGGTCCTGTAGCTCTTATTACTCAGTTTCTAGATTTTACTTTGTTCTACCAATACATATGTTCTGTTTTAAAGTTATTTAATGTGTCCTGCACTGGTGACTGCATCTCCCCAAGCATTCCCTCACTTGCTCAAATCCGATCACATACCCCCAATAGGTAGTACCCTCCCGTCTTTGGATCGGAGGGTATACATCCTGGAGCCCTCAGTGGTGTGGGAGGCGCATAAATGCATTGTCAGAGGCGTCCTGATCAGGCATGGTGCCCGCAAGAAACGGGAGGGGGCAGTGAAGGTGGCTCAGTTGTTTGCCAGACTCCACGCCCTAGAAGCTACACACAAAAAATCCCTGGCGGCTACTAACTTTAAAGAACTGGTCTCGCTTAGAGCAGAACTCAACGATCTCCTACTCTTCTAATAACTTAATTTCCACACAATTCTGATTTTATGATGAGCAATAATGAAGGTATCACTGAAGTTTCGCTGGGCAAGCTGCTTCCTGGCACGTTAACAAATTCCAAGCCTTTCACAACCATTATCACTTTACAACTGTCACTGATTCTTGCAGGGTTATTCACAAAGGGGTGAAGGGTTTGAAGACAGGAGAAGTGAACACTCTAGGACAAAATAGCTGATTTGGAAAAATTCTCCAATTCAGCTCACTTTCCCGTTCAGCTATGTTGTCCTAGTTTGTTCACTTATCCTGCCTCCTCCAAACTCTTCACCCTTTTGTGAATAACCATGTTGGTTTCGTGTTTGTGGAATTAGTGTATGAGCAGTAATAAATGGATTTGATTCATTTCAGCTATATTGCAAGTTCAGAATAGCTAAATAAAAAATAGAAATACAGCTCATATATACAACCCTAATTCCAAAAAGGTTGGGGCGCTGTGTAAAATTCACATAAAAACAGAATTAGCAAATCTCATGAACCCATATGTTTTCACAATGGAAAATAGAAA